GCCTCATGGGACAAGGTATAGCCATTCACATCTTGGGCCTCATGGGACAAGGTATAGCCATTCACATCTTGGGCCTCATGGGACAAGGTATAGCCGTTCACATCTTGGGCCTCATGGGACAAGGTATAGCCGTTCACATCTTGGGCCTCATGGGACAAGGTTGGCCTGGAACGTGGCCAACTCTTCCGTTCCTCTCAAAAGTACTTTGACGCCTTGCCTCTGCACAAAACAGGCAAAATATGAAGAAAAAACGACAAACAAAAACAATAGTAGAATTTAGAAAAGTCTGAAAAAACAAATATAAAAAAATGGGCAAAAAATGGATCTGTTTCTTTCGCTGTGTGTGCCATCAGATCATCTATTAATTCATTAAAATTTTAAAATTCAAAAAATTGAAAAAAAAAACGAGTGGGGATCCAGGCCGCCCGGGTGACCGGCAGAGGCCCGGGGGGCCTGGCCGGGCAGGGCACCTGGTTGGGGGCCGGGCCCCGCCAGCGCACTTACCTGTCGGGGTTTTCGGACCCCCTTTGTGTGTGTGTGTGTATGAGAGAGAGAGAGAGAGAGAGAGAGAGAGAGAGAGAGAGAGAGAGAGAGAGAGAGAGAGATGTTCAAATCATACTTGCAGAGCATCTCATGGGCGGGGTGCTGCACGCGCATGCAGGCACGCACAAGTGATGCGCCGCATTAAAAAAGTAGAAAACAAAAAGTGTCCTCGTTGTGTCCAGCCTCTTTTCGGAAGGATCCCTACAGCATATTAGCCAGGACCCGACGTCATGCAGAGATACACTTCAAACTTGTACTCCCTGAAGGTGGGCAGAGAATATATAGTCTGGATTCGAATTCTCTGTGCATGTTGGTCATGGGTCACTATTTCTCTGTTTTCTCGCTTTTCTTTTCTTTTCTCGCTTTTCTTTTCTTTTCTGGCTTTTCTTTTCTTTTCTCGTTTTGCTTTTATTAGGAATACGTGCAGTGGCCCTAAGGGCCTTTACTCACCAAATACACAAAAGACAAAACATATGATGGCGTATTATTCCACGTTCTGCAGAAGATTCATTCTAATTTTGCACATTTCTTGAGTAGTGCAGCGAAGCCCTAAGAGTCATGTGCAGAGACCAACAGGGCCTAGCTACGTGAGCAACCCATAACTGCTGAAACACAGACCAGAATTCGAATCTTGAGTATATATTCGGCCAGCTCGTGCTCTATTTTATATTCACTGCCTGCCTTGATTCTGGGGGGGGGGTCTGCGCTACATGTCTGCAAGGGCCATTCAGACAGCCTGCATGGGCCGTCTGAGCCGTGTTAAGGGGATCCGCTCTCTCTCTCTCTCTCTCGCCCCCCCTTGTATACACACACACTATCACAGACACCCCCCAAACCCCAGCACCCCCCACCCAGACCAAACCCCCCACCCCCCACCAAAACCAAAATTTTATTGCAGATTCGGGGTCCTCTCGCTGAGCGCAGAACGACCCCGGTTTCAAAAAAAAAATAAAAAAAATTTATTGCAGATTCGGGGTCCTCTCGCTGAGCGCAGAACGACCCCGGTTTCAAAAAAAAAAAAAAAAAATTCTGGGCGGTTTTTTGTCCCGCCCGGTTTACCCGGGCACCCCCCCGGGCCCAACCGGCCGGGCCCAGCCCGGCAGGGCAGGCCCGACCGGGCGGCGTCCTCACACAGAAAAAAACAACAACAATAGAACAGTGCAGAGAATGCTACTCACAACACACACCCACAGAAAAGGGAAAAAAAAAAAAAAAAAAATCTGAAACCAATAATATCATAGCTGCGGTGCGGCGATTTGTGCACGGCTTACGCATGAAGCGCTGCACACCGCACAGCGCACCGTAGCGCCGCGTACAGAGAAAAATAGGGGTAGGTGGATTTTTTTTTTTTGGGTTTTCGTTCATACGCAGGGCCCCCACCCCGGCAAAAATAAAGGCCGGGGCGCGCAACTCGGGAAACCGGCCGCTCCCTGCCTCCGAATTTTTTTTGGGGGGAAGGGCCTGCCGAATTCGAAATTTGAGTTTGGCAGCCTCTTCCCCCACAAAAGTTTTCGGAGAGGTTTTCCCGCGCCCCGTCGCCATTCGAATCTTGACGCCACTCAGGAGGGAGGGAGAGACACTGCGAGGGACGAGCAAGAAGCGACCAATGAAGGTGGGGAGCAGCGGGGGAAGGGAGAGGAAGGTGGGAGAAATGGGAGAGACTGGCGGGCAGCCATGAAGGTGGGTGCCCACCACCTCTCTCTCTCTCTCTCACACACACACACACACACGCCACACACGCCCACACACACGCACGCAACAAGTGTGGCGGTGTATCCTATCGATGGAAAACTTTCTCTCTCTCTCTCTCTCTCTCTCTCTCTCACACACACACACACACACACACACACACACACACACACACACACCACCAAAGAAACAAGTGTGGCGGTGTATATTCCCATGTTGTAGCCGTATATTCATCCGATTTTGCTCATCCTAGCGATGGAAGTTGCGTGAGGCCAGCTGCGGGGTTGGAGACTTACCTGTTGGCCGGTGCTCTCATCCTATCGATGGAAAAGTCTCTCTCTCTCTCTCACACACACACACACACACACGAAATGACGACACACAAACACACACACACACACACACGAAATGACGACACACACACACACACACGAAATGACGACACAGACACACACACACACACACACACACCTCCTCTCCGATCTCAGGTTTAATATTTTTTTCCTGTGCACATGGCGCAAGGACCGCAGTGCGTGCACAGCGCACAGTGCGCGCTCTTCTAAACCTGCGCACTGTGCATTGCGCACCGGCGCGCACTGCGCAGCGCACACGTGCGCCGCAACTATGAATGATATCCTTTTGCACTAAAGTAAGCACAGGAAAAAAGCCCCTTTCCTGGGCTGCGCTCGCACTAACAAAGAGGAATGGATTTAGTGCCTGAATCTGGACGTGTTTTAAGCAGAGATGCATAAAAGCAGATGAATTGCGATTTTCTGCACCTTTCTGTAAATACGTCCAGATTCGCTCCTTCAATTGAATCCACTCTTTGCTCGTGGGAAGTCGGCACCGGTGCCCGAATGGGGCACTAGCACACATACACAACTATGGACAACAAACGAATCTGCGACTGTTGAACTGACCAGGTACATGCGGAACTTAGCACAACCCTACCGTTCTTCACCAGAATAGAAGGCCCAGTTACTATCGCCGTATTTGTGCAATTTTCAGTCCAGATACAGCTATAATGACCGGGTGTTCTATTCGGGTGAAGACAGTAGTACCAGTGGTGGACGACTCCTTTGTACGCTCATATCTAAATACAACAGGAACGGGCAAAAAAAAAACCAGGGAAGTGCAACAGGAACCGGGAAAAAAAAAGCAGGGAATTGCAACAGGAATGTCAGGAACCAAAAAAAAAAAAAAAAAAAAAAAAAAAAAAAAAAAAAAAAAAAAAAAAAAAAAAAAAAAAAAAAAAAAAAAAAAAAAAAGCAAGGAAGTGTAAAAGGGGAAAAAAGTTCAAAAAACATAAAAAAAAAAGAAAAAGAAAAAAAAGAACGCAGCAGCAGTTAAGGGTCGTCTAGCTGTACTTACACTTAAGCAGTCCACTGCTTCTGCAATTTCACTGTGACGATTGATATGCACTCTAGCAAGCAGCCTCGGGCGCGACTGCTTGATGACCTGCCAACCACAGAACCAAACAGTGACACATATTTATAAAAAAAAAATTGAAACATGTTTTCTTTTTATTTTATTTGTTTCCCTTTGAAAGCTAGGCTATCAGAGGTGGGTGCAGCTCCCGCATGTTCCCTCGTTGGAGGCTTGAGCACGGATGTGGCTGTTACGGGGTTCCCCGTAATACTATAATGACAATAAAAAAGGCCTGAAAGGCCCTCCTGTCCAGATTTGACAGGTAATTGAATTGGTTGGGCTTAAAGATTTAGCCTTTATAATTATTAAAAAAAAAAAAAAGAGTGGCCCCCGACCACTTGCCCGGCCAGGCCAAAAATAATTAAAAATAGCCGCAGCCCATAGATTTCCGGCCAGACCTGTCTCTGGACTGCTCCAGACCGTCCGGATTGAAACCCCCCCTTTAAAAAAAAAAAGTTTATTAAACGTTGTTTTTATTTTTTTCCCCCTTGGATTTGGCTACGATTTTTTTATTTTTTTTCTTTTTAAGCTATATTCTTCTCTCAATTTCACCTCACACTACCTACCTACCACACTACTCCTAATTGTAGGCATACAGAGAGATGGTCCTCAGCCAAAAAAAAATGTATTGCAATGCTGCATAAACAATCTTTTTTAAGAGATTTTTAAATATTTTTTTTAGATTTTTATTTTTTATTTTTTAAAGTTGGATTTTTTTAGGGGGTGGGGGTGGGGGGATGGATCCAGATTCCCGACACTCTGGACCGGACACCACATCCAGACCCAGACCGTCTGCACTGCAGTTCGGACGTCCAATTCATAACCATGTATTTTTTTAATTTTAAATTTCTAATTTGGCAAATAATTTCTACGGAGCTTTTCATTTTTCGTTTTTGTTTAAAGTTTAAACCAAACTTTATTATACAATCCGCAAACCGGGCCCGGCATCCGGGCCCTCACAATTGTCTGTGCAACACCCGGGACCCGGGATGCACGAGGCATCACTGGTTAAGTCCGTCAGGGGAGCCACTGTGCACCCTGAGGTCAGTCAGACCTGTTCTGCAGTTTATTTTCCTGCACAACATCGTTTTTAAAACTTTTTTCGATTTTTATAAATTTTAAATCATTTTTTGGATTTTCTTTTCCCCTTTTTACAGAGACCTTTCCTGGCACTTGTCCGGCCGGCCCACCCGGGCAACCAAGGTGACCTCGTGCGGCCCGGTTGGTAACAAAGGAAAGAAAAAAAAAAACGGAAAAGAACACAAAGAATGAAATGAATGCTGAAGCCTGAAAGTCCTTCGGGACATCCGTTAAAATTGGAAGGATGCATGGAAAATAAAAATGAAAATAATAAAAATTGAAATGAATGCTGAAAACATGATTACATCCATGGATCATTTCCACTGGAGTCGAGCACTCACTCGTATTAATGCTGCAGGTTGGAAATGCCCGAACTCGGTGTTCACACACGTCGCGAACGGCACGCTCAGTCCCGAGTCCGCCTTGTGGAAGATCACATGGTTCGCAGCTGCTTCTTTATCATCCTCGCCTTCGCCGACTTCGTCAATGGGCGCAGCTGTCTTCCATGTACGACCTTCTTCTTGCCCATCACGATCCTGCGGTTTGCCAGCTGGTGCGTCCACTGAAGTGCCAGCTGTACCGAGCATTACTAAAGAAGGCGCTACTGCTGCAATTTGGCTTCCTGAGAGTTTGGGTGAGGCTGCGGCTTCTTCATCGGCGGTGCCGGTGCCGTCGGCAATGGGACGTGAAGGTGTCGCCTTGTACTTGTCTCGCTCCGAGAGCAGCGGAATGACGAAAAGCTCTCTCCTTCTCTCAAGAGATTGACTGCCGTCCTCCCAATTCCGTCTCTCACTCCATTTGCTTTCCGTTCTGCCGGCAATTCCGTCCAACTTTCCATCGATGAAATCTGCGAGATGAGGGACATTGAGGGGCAAGGGTGGAAGGAGCACGTCGACATCACCAAGCGTCTTGCCACTCCGCCGAAGAAAGGGATAAGCATCCATTGATTCTCGGAACGACTTGAGATTACGTACCCCGCGACCTCTGCCTGGGGTCGTTTGACCCAACCTTATTGCAACAAGTGTTTTCTGTATAAGTTGGGCGCGCATATGAGCCAGTGCACACTCCAGCGATCGAATTCTTCTCTGCTCGCTCGATCTGCGAACGACCAAACAGATGAAGGAGGTGGGAGTATCATCCCATCGGCATTCAGCTCTTCATCTGATGCCATCAGATCTATCTGTTTACTAACAGTGACCAAGGGGGAAGACAATAGACCATCTGTGTGTGTGTGTGTGTGTGTGTGTGTGTGTGTGTGTGTGTGTGTGTTTAAAAAATTGCACCACAACAGCCCCTGTTCCATCCAGACGAGTAGATACGAGTTGAGCCAGCTCAACAATTAAAGAATTTCACCTCTTTATAGCAAGCAACGCGAATCGTAATAGAAGGGTTTAGAACTGTGTTTAGCTGGGGTTTCTCCGGGGCAACAGCTCCTCTTTTACTATGCCTCACACGTACAAGGCTGCCCATGTTGATGGTGGTTAAGCGGCAGCTGCCCACATCCCCATGTGCCTTAACGGCCCACTTGCACGTTATAACAGGAGGCAGAGTCAAAGGGAAGCTCTGTGTGTGTGTGTGTGTGTGTGTGTGTGTGTGTGTGTGTGAGAGAGAGAGAGAGAGAGAGAGAGAGAGAGAGAGAGAGAGAGAGAGAGAGAGAGAGAGAGAGAGAGAGAGAGAGAGAGAGA